ACCTTTACTTGGGGAAACGGCTCCTATTTGGCCTACTTGTCATGAAACACTCTTGTCGAGCCGCCATCACTCACCCACACTCTCCTTGTTTTTGGATGATCTTCTAATTCCCCTTCATGATATTACTGTCCGATCTCATCCAATTTGCTGCTGTATCTTTCTTTTCCAGGAAATCCTCACAGGATAAGAGCAAAAATAAGTTGTCTAAAGACATTTATTCCATAAAAATTCACTGAACGAATATATATAATATTACAGTACTTAGGATTCTACAAACTAGCAATCCCTTATATAATATCAGTTCTTCACCAAATAAACTGCACTAGGCTGCTGTTCAATTTTCGCCCTCAGCCTTTTGCCTTCTCATTGCTTATGACTGGGTAACTTGCATATAAAATATCTCCAACAAGAAAAATAATCATCTCTCACCTTACATTGCATCACTTATGCCATATGTATTCAAGCACTTCTTCAAACATATCATGATGTCCATTCAGTTCTCTGTTCTACGTCCTGAGGCCCACCACTAAGAACATCTGTCTCTGGGTACTCAAAATCAGGTGAGTACTCTCCTGCAGTCGCTTCAATATTTGGTGCTACTTGAAGACCCACTCAATGCCTGTGAAGTTCTATATGACTTCACCAGAAAACGTGTAGCACAACTACACTCGAAGTTCCACTCTACCACTGAAGTTCCACTCTATACTTTAAGTTCAACTCCACACTTGAAGTTCTCTACAACTTGAAGTTATCCACACTTTAAGTTCGACTCCCACATAATCTTCACCTGGCACGAAGCTTCTCAGCAAAATTCTCCCCACACAAACCTGTAATTCCATTACCATACAATATTAATTTATTCTCTTATCAAAACATAAATAACAAATATACATGTAAACATTAAACCTCTCCAGCCGACGTCCCACTCCTGGGTGGTCTTACAGAGATGGGTACTCCCCCAAGCTGGATGAGTCCACACAGAAATCCTCCTCCGAGGGGAAGGGGTGCCAGAGCTCCTCTTACCTCAGTCGCTCACTGACCTCAGGCAAGCAAGCATGTGTTGCTTGCAAGTATGTGACTTGAGTATACAGAGTCACCTGGCAGGTTTCACACAGAAACACCTGCTCAATTTCATCCACTCAAAAGATATCTTACAGTAGGTCCACACAGGTCACGACCACCTTAATAGGCTTTAGGCCGCCTCTATTATCGTTAACAATCACTGTGAAACGTTGCACGTCACCCTCAGCAGATTCCTCAGCACGTTGTACTGTAGTACTGGGGAGCCGGTCGGCCGAGCGGACAGCACGCTGGTCTTGTGATCCTGTGGTCCTGGGTTCAATCCCAGGCACCGGCGAGAAACAATGGGCAGAGTTTCTTTCACTCTATGCCCCTGTTACCTAGCAGTAAAATAGGTACCTGGGTGTTAGTCAGCTGTCACGGGCTGCTTCCTGGGGGTGGAGGCCTGGTCGAGGACCGGGCCGCGGGGACACTAAAAGCCCCGAAATCATCTCAAGATAACCTCAAGAAGATAGCCTCTAACTCAAGCACTTAACCGAGAACTATAATCTTCCTTCTCAGGAGGGCTCCAATGTATGTCTATCCTCGACGACTCTCGCATCTCAAGTGCTCCTTTACAACCTCCATAATGTCGACATCTTACTTTGTTTTCACAAGATGCTTGTTCTCTGCTTTCATTCTCTTCTAGTTTTAATTTACTGATGTTTGCTTAGTTACTTCCTTCCCCTGACTCCTACCTCCAGTAAGGTTGGTGGAATAACTTTTGCAAGGCACCTACCTCATGAGGATACTGGGTTTCATAACAGGGGGGAAGGAGGAAGGGGGGACAGGAAGGGTATGGGGTGAGGGTGAAGGAATGGCTGAATGAGCTTTGAATTGAGACAAGAAAGGTTCTGGGTATGGGGGATTTGAATGGGGAGGAGGGGGGAGTTGTCCTCTCTTATGAGGTTACTGGGGTGGTGGTTTGGAGTACCCAATTCCGTTCCGGGAATGTTGTGTTAGGGGTTGTGGATTCCCGTTTCTCTCCTTTCTCCCTGTGCTTCTTCCTTGCGTCTGCTGCCATTGCTCTCTCTTCCATCGTCATGTCACTCTGGAGGAATACTTTCTTGCACCCTCTCACATTATCTGTTGGCTCCTTCTTGGTAGAATTTCCTCCTTCGTGATCTCATTTGTAAAACACCTTGTCCTTGTTTGTCCTTGTTGTACCAGCCAAGACTGAAAATGTTTATACTATGTCCAACCTCTTCCATCTGTTATCCTTTTAGGATCTCTGTCACTGCCACATTGTCCTTATGTTTCCGTTCTGTCTTATTGGAGCCTTCTTGTTCTTTAATGCCTACTGCTACCACTGAACATTTTCTCTCAGAAGCTAACTAGTGCATCTTGCTGCTTCCTGTCAGGTAGCTCCTTTCATGGCTATTTCCTTCACTGTGGACATTGCTTCTGAACTCTTTCTAAGCATTTCTGCAAATGTTGCATGTACAGTGGCAGTCCATTCCATTGATACATTTCCATCTTCTCTTCGTAAGATTATCTGATGCTGAGCAAGAGCGTGTGTGGTTGCGAGTGCACATGTGTTTATATTGGTGAGAGTGCATGCATTTAGTTTAAAAAGATTGATGCATGAGTGTTCTCTTCCTATTTGGATGTGTGGGTGTACTCGTTATTGTGTGCGTGTTTGTTCTCGTCCCTGTTTGCGTAAGAGAGAGAGAGAAGGGAGTGTAGAAATGTAGGGTGAGGAGTGTGGAGGTCTAAGGGATTAACAGGGTGGCCACCAGTGCCCAAATAAGGTCATGAGTCTTTGTTCTTGCCACTTGTCCCATTTAAGATTACTATGCTATTATTGAATGAAATGCAAAGTAGTGACTACGATATGATATTATGTAAACCATGCACAATGTTGAAGACTTCAGAGAGGCATTTACCAGACCACCCTCTCTACACACACAGAGCTAGGCAAGTTTCACAGCGGGGCACTCCTCATCCTCCTGCTTCCAGCATATATTGCACCAGTGTTGCCACTCCAAATTGTTTAATAATGCATCTGATCCTTATTTCTGTTCTATTAAACCTCACTATTCACTGTATCACTGTTCCCTAGAGTCCAAGTATAACGAGACATAAATGTAAACAAAGGCCTCGAGTCACTATGCTTCCACGTGGTCAGGTTTAGTTGGTTATTTTCTATTTAACACAAGGTTCTACTGTCAGTCACTGTATATTTTCTTTGCTAAGTGTGGTTATACGCTTTGTGATAACTGTGATCTGAGTTCCATCAGTATAACCTTACTATGCCCTAGTATATCTTTGTTTACAACACTGTGTTGGCGAGGCTGGGCGTACTACACTGTGCTAGTGAGGTTATGTACAACACTATATTGACGAGGCTAGGTGTACTACACTGTGTTGGCGAGGCTGGGTATACTACACTGTGTGGGCGAGGCTTGGTGTACTACACTGTCTTGGTGAGGCTGGGTGTACAACACTGTGTTGGCGAGGCTGGGTGTACAACACTGTGTTGGCGAGGCTGGGTGTACAACACTGTGTTAACGAGGATGGGTATACAACAGTGTTAGCGAGGTTGGGTGTACTACACTGTGTTGGTGAGGCTGGGTGTACAACACTGTGTTGGTGAGGCTGGGTGTACAACACTGTGTTGGCGAGGTTGGGTGTACTACATTGTGTTGGCGAGGCTGGATGAACTACACTGTATTGGCGAGGTTGGGTGTACTACACTGTGTTGGGGAGCTGGGTGAACTATACTGTGTTTGAGAGGTTGAGTGTACTACACTGTGTTGGGGAGCTGGGTGAACTACACTGTATTGGCGAGGTTGGGTGTACTACACTGTGTTGGGGAGCTGGGTGAACTATACTGTGTTTGAGAGGTTGGGTGTACTACACTGTGTTGGCGAAGTAAGGTGTTCTACACTGTGTTGGCGAGGTAAGGTGTTCTACACTGTGTTGGGTTTATTCAATTAACAAGCTACTTGGGGTGTTGCCTCGTCTTAGATATTATGTAACATAGGGTCCCGGTAGGATTGTCAAACTCGTTCTCGACTCACAACCGAGAATTCTGGGTTTGTATCCCGGGTGGGACAGAAGTGGTTGAGTGCCTTTCCAATCATTTAATGCATCTGTTCACCTACCAGTAAGTAGGTACTCAGGAGTTAGTCAACTTGTTGAAGTCTTTCATCCTGGTCGGGGTCAGTAATTCGACCTTGGGGCGGAACCTTGATATAAGCCTAACATTTAAACACACTCTGGCTGCCAATTCCCTTACACAATTAATTATTATTATTATTATTATTATTATTATTATTATTATTATTATTATTATTATTATTATTATTATTATTATTAGTAGTAGTAGTAGTAGTAGTAGTAGTAGTATTATGTATAGATAATCTTTGGTCAAGAATACCAATACTGAGTTATGCAGTTTAATATTAGCATTACTAACACTAATGGTGTATTATCTCTACTAATAAGAAAGAACGTCTGTCTCTATTTTACTATATGTATGTTCAAAAGAGGCTAGATGCTTGGAACTAGGCTCACCCATTTTTGCCTATGGGAGTGTCAAAGGTCAATTGGGTGTCAGTTCCATTGCCACTCCTTAAGAAATAGCGGAATATGTAGCGACTCCTGCAATTTTCATGAAGGCAAAAATCTGAGATTTGTTTACTAGATTTTTAGAGTATTCATGTCTTCGTAATATTAAATTTTATAAGAATAAGAGAAAGAGAGAAGAAAGGGAATGAGAAAACGTTGGCAAAAGATGGAGGGGGGTGAAAGAGGGGGGGGGGACGGAGGGGGTGAAGGGGGGGGGGGCAGTTTGGAGAAAGGATGTAGACGGGAAGAGAAGAGAGCGTGAGTAAATTGTCCTAAAAGTTAAATACCAACAAGTCAATAAGTTGATGTATGCAAGAAGTGTTGAAGGGAGGGAGGGAGTGGCCCTAACCTGTCCTCCCACCCCGCAGGTCGCAACCTTTAAGTGGGAACCCAATGTGTTCTACCAGCGTGGAGAGGCTGGGAGGCCCGACACCCCTTACGGCGTAGATATTGACGTTGTACACTCCTTGGCGCGTTTCTATAACTTCTCTGTCACGTATGTGCAACCTGCCCAAGGTCAGTGATCACTTCTTGGAGCCTAGAGATGTTGACGTCTATTGGTGTCTTTTTTTATCTAAATATTCAACTATATAAAGCTGTCTCTCTGCATCTCTCGGGATTTACAATCAGTTTTGTTTTATACGTTTTTCCAAACTTTTGTTTCATATTCGAAAGGTTTTCACTGTAATTTGTATATAATATTGTTTATTAGTTCACTGCTACTACTATAATTAACTATATTATCATGAGATTTGTTTATTGTTAGTACTGCTCCTAATCATTTGGGCAGGATTACCATTATTTGTGTTGATGTTGTCTTGTGTGAGGGCAGGAGAACTGTGGGGAGAGGAGGGCGAAGGTGGGCTCTGGAGCGGACTGGTGGGCCTGCTGCAGCGAGGACAGGCCCAGGTGGGCGTCGCAAGCATCTATGTCTCCGCCGCCCGCGCCTCCGTCATCGACTTCACTCAATACTATGACTCAAGGGTGGCTGTTGACAGTATTTCTGTACCTTCAGGTGTTAGTGTACCCTCAGGTGCTAGTGTACCCTCAAGAGTTAGTGTTCCCTCAGGTGTTAGTGCCCAGCAAACAATTTTAGGTACAACAACATACCTTGAAAGTTTTTGAGAGCTGTGGCAACGTTTGATTTCGCATATTAGCTACGTTATTGTGTGGTGCCATAAATAAGTTGCCACAATTTACTGCACCATGTTGGCTAAACAAAATGTAAGACTTTGTGGAAACCTTAAACGTTGCATAAAAGTAGTTATATATATATATATATATATATATATATATATATATATATATATATATATATATATATATATATATATATATATATATATATATATATATATATATATATATATATATATATATATATATATATATGTCGTACCTAGTAGCCAGAACGCACTTCTGAGCCTACTATGCAAGGCCCGATTTGCCTAATAAGCCAAGTTTTCATGAAATAATTGTTTTTCGACTACCTAACCTACCTAACCTAACCTAACCTAACTTTTTTGGCTACCCAACCTAACCTAACCTATAAAGATAGGTTAGGTAGGGTTGGTTAGGTTCGGTCATATATCTACGTTAATTTTAACTTCAATAACAAAAAATGGACCTCATACATAATGAAATGGGTAGCTTTTTCATTTCATAAGAAAAAAAATAGAGAAAATATATTAATTCAGGAAACTTGGCTTATTAGGCAAATCGGGCCTTGCATAGTAGGCTGAGAAGTGCGTTCTGGCTACTAGGTACGACATATATATATATATATATATATATATATATATATATATATATATATATATATATATATATATATATATATATATATATATATATATATATATATATATATATATATATATATATATATATATATATATATATATATATATATATATATATATATATATATATATATATATATATATATATATATATATATATATATATATATATATATTATTATTAAATATGACCGAAAAAGTAAGATTAATAATTCTAACACGAATTTTCTCAATCTTTCGTACATTTCTTTTCACTGTTGGAGGTAATTCAAAAATCAATTCTCCAAAATTCATTTTTATTTCTAGTCTGACGCGACACTTGAGCGCGTTTCGTAAAACTTATTACATTTTCAAAGACTTTATTTAACACATACACAACTGAATAGAACTTACACATCTCCGATTTTGTTTATATCTACATTTGAGTGAGGTGGATGGGGTGAGGTGGTATTTAATAAGGTATTAATTTCATCAACACAAGCCAGAACATGAAACAATGGGTATTGAATAGAAGTGATTGTAGAAAGCCTATTGGTCCATATTTCTTGATGCTTCTATATTGGAGCGGAGTCTTGAGGTGGGTAGAATATAGTTGTGCATTAATTGGCTGTTGATTGCTGGTGTTGACTTCTTGATGTGTAATGCCTCGCAAACGTCAAGCAGCCTGCTATCGCTGTATCTATCGATGATTTCTGTGTTGTTTACTAGGATTTCTCTGGCGATGGTTTGGTTGTGGGAAGAGATTATATGTTCCTTAATGGAGCCCTGTTGCTTATGCATCGTTAAATGCCTAGAAAGAGATGTTGTTGTCTTGCCTATATACTGGGTTTTTTGGAGCTTACAGTCCCCAAGAGGGCATTTGAAGGCATAGACGACGTTAGTCTCTTTTAAAGCGTTCTGTTTTGTGTCTGGAGAGTTTCTCATGAGTAGGCTGGCCGTTTTTCTGGTTTTATAGTAAATCGTCAGTTGTATCCTCTGATTTTTGTCTATAGGGATAACGTTTCTATTAACAATATCTTTCAGGACCCTTTCCTCCGTTTTATGAGCTGTGGAAAAGAAGTTCCTGTAAAATAGTCTAATAGGGGGTATAGGTGTTGTGTTGGTTGTCTCTTCAGAGGTCGCATGGCATTTCACTTTCCTTCTTATGATGTCTTCGACGAAACCATTGGAGAAGCCGTTGTTGACTAGGACCTGCCTTACTCTACAGAGTTCTTCGTCGACTTGCTTCCATTCTGAGCTGTGGCTGAGAGCACGGTCGACATATGCGTTAACAACACTCCTCTTGTACCTATCTGGGCAGTCGCTTTTGGCATTTAGGCACATTCCTATGTTCGTTTCCTTAGTGTAGACTGCAGTGTGGAAACCTCCGCTCTTTTCCATGACTGTTACATCTAGAAAGGGCAGCTTCCCATCCTTTTCCATCTCGTAAGTGAAACGCAGCACGGAACTCCGCTCAAATGCCTCCTTCAACTCCTGCAGATGTTTGACATCAGGTACCTGTGTAAAAATGTCGTCAACATACCTGCAGTATATGGCCGGTTTCATGTTCATGTCGACTAAGACTTTTTGCTCGATGGTACCAATGTAGAAGTTTGCAAACAGGACACCTAGGGGAGAACCCATGGCGACCCCATCTACTTGCTTATACATGTGCCCATCCGGGCTCAAGAAGGGTGCCTCTTTAGTACAAGCTTGGAGTAGTTTCCTTAGGATATTTTCTGGTATGTCAAGTGGAGTACAGGCTTGATCACGATACACTCTGTCGGCTATCATCCCGATTGTCTCGTCCACTGGTACGTTAGTGAACAGCGATTCTACGTCCAACGAGGCTCTTATCCCTGTGGCCCGTGTGCCCCGCAGTAAGTCAACAAATTCCTTTGGAGACTTCAGGCTGAAGGCGCAAGGAACATAAGGAGTCAGCAGGCCGTTGAGTCGCTTCGCCAGTCTGTACGTGGGTGTGGGTATCTGGCTAATGATTGGCCAAAGTGGGTTTCCAGGCTTGTGTGTCTTGACATTTCCATACACATATCCAGGTTTATATTCCCCAATGATCTTTGGCAAGTGGAGTCCGGATTTCTTGGCGTTCACAGTTTCGATCAGTTTGTTGACCTTTGCTTTCAATTCGGTTGTAGTGTCCATCGTTACCCTTTGGAACTTAGTTTGGTCAGAGAGTATGAGGTTCATTTTCGCCAGATATTCGTCTTTTTTAAGAATGACATATATTGGCGACTTGTCACCTCTCCTGACAACTATCTCCTTGTTCTCACGAAGGCTTTTAGCTGCCGCTTTGAGCTCGGGGGACAGTATGGTGCTTCTGTAATTGCCTTGTAGGCGCAAGGAACATAAGGAGTCAGCAGGCCGTTGAGTCGCTTCGCCAGTCTGTACGTGGGTGTGGGTATCTGGCTAATGATTGGCCGAAGTGGGTTTCCAGGCTTGTGTGTCTTGACATTTTATACACATATCCAGGTTTATATTCTCCAATGATCTTTGGCAGGTGGAGTCCGGATTTCTTGGAGTTCACAGTTTCGATCAGTTTGTTGACCTTTGCTTTCAATTCGGCTGTAGTGTCCATCGTTACCCTTTGGAACTTAGTTTGGTCAGAGAGTATGAGGTTCATTTTCGCCAGATATTCGTCTTTTTTAAGAATGACATATATTGGCGACTTGTCACCTCTCCTGACAACTATCTCCTTGTTCTCACGAAGGCTTTTAGCTGCCGCTTTGAGCTCGGGGGACAGTATGGTGCTTCTGTAATTGCCTCGATTCTTTCCTCCTTCTGCAATAAGTTCTGCTTGTAAGGTATCTTTGGTAGTGACCTTCTTTTGTGTCTCGAGGTCGAATATGTTGTCCAACAGAATTTCCAACTCTACTTTCCGGGCCATCTCACTCGGTCTGGACATAACGTGACAGTTTATGCCCAGATTTCGTCGAAGACATCATAAGAAGGAAAGTGAAACGCCATGCAACCTCTGAAGAGACAACCAACACAACACCTATACCCCCTATTAGACTATTTTACAGGAACTTCTTTTCCACAGCTCATAAAACGGAGGAAAGGGTCCTGAAAGATATTGTTAATAGAAACGTTATCCCTATAGACAAAAATCAGAGGATACAACTGACGATTTACTATAAAACCAGAAAAACCTTCCAGCCTACTCATGAGAAACTCTCCAGACTCAAAACAGAACGCTTTCAAAGAGACTAACGTCGTCTATGCCTTCAAATGCCCTCTTGGGGACTGTAAGCTCCAAAAAACCCAGTATATAGGCAAGACAACAACATCTCTTTCTAGGCGTTTAACGATGCATAAGCAACAGGGCTCCATTAAGGAACATATAATCTCTTCCCACAACCAAACCATCGCCAGAGAAATCCTAGTAAACAACACAGAAATCATCGATAGATACAGCGATAGCAGGCGGCTTGACGTTTGCGAGGCATTACACATCAAGAAGTCAACACCAGCAATCAACAGCCAATTAATGCACAACTATATTCTATCCACCTCAAGACTCCTCTCCAATATAGAAGCATCAAGAAATATGGACCAATAGGCTTTCTACAATCACTTCTATTCAATACCCATTGTTTCATGTTCTGGCTTGTGTTGATGAAATTAATACTTTATTAAATACCACCTCACCCCATCCACCTCACTCAAATGTAGATATAAACAAAATCGGAGATGTTTAAGTTTTATTCAGTTGTGTATGTGTTAACTAAAGTCTTTGAAAATGTAATAAGTTTTACGAAACGCGCTCAAATGTCGCGTCAGACTAGAAATAAAAATGAATTTTGGAGAATTGATTTTTGAATTACCTCCAACAGTGAAAAGAAATCGTACGAAAGATTGAGAAAATTCGTGTTAGAATTATTAATCTTACTTTTTCGGTCATATTTAATAATATATGTCTACAGGAAAGACTGCTACCAAAATATATATATATATATATATATATATATATATATATATATATATATATATATATATATATATATATATATATATATATATATATATATATACTATATTATTAGTTTATTATTTTTACTGCCTTTCCCTCCCCTCCTCCACAATTACTACTGCTTCTCAGTCCCCTCGTCTACTATTTCTACTGCCTCTCACTCCCCTCCTCCATTTTTACTGCCTCTCCCTCTCCTACTCCACCATTACTACTTC